TTCACCATAAGAACCGATCCTGAGGCAGTAAGTAGATTACTTATTTTCAGTTTCCCTTTCTCTCCCTCTCTCTCAAATCACTAACCTTGCTTATAAAAAATTGATTTCTAAATAAACTTTGTGAACGCAAATGTGCCGTGGTTGAATGGGTTACACTTGACATGCAGTCTAAAAGAACCATTCGTAACTTCCCAACGCCTCACGAAAAGTAACTGAAAGGGTTTAAACGGCGAGATTTTTGCGCAAATTTCAATTAATAGATGTTATACTTTCATTAAATGCAATCTTAAATTCTCTTAAGTGATTTCTTCGATGTAAACATTTAAGCGAGGTTTTGCGTTGTACATGTACCAAGAGAGCTTTATCCTTTCTTGCTTGTATCACAAATACTCTTTCAGAACGTTTTGCGAGTCGGTTCAATTCTGATACTTCTACCTTACCTTGTAAAGCAGACCAATGAATTCTGATGAATAACTTCCGCATTAAATCCCCCCGTGTCTGGAAGAACTACCTCTTTTAACATAGGTTCTACAGAGGAAGAAAAACAATATTTACACGCACCATTACAGTAAATAAACAAATTCTCACAACTTAAAAATGCACGTTTGAAATTACTTACAGTGACGTTCCTTGCCATTCAAAGATAGAGATAAATCTGCGTAGATTAATTGCCGATTGCAGTGTAGGAAAGGCAAAATGTTGACGATTACTACCATTTCATTCTCGAAAATAGATCAGACAGACCATTCAGCCACGCGTTACCGTTGTCCATGAGCAGCGATAGGAAAATCTTGCCCGCTCCACGAACCAATCAGATGTCAAGATTCGTCAACGCGCCCTCGTGGAAAAAAAATGGTACTTGTTTATGACATGATCCAGAAGATGCCCCCCGCCCCAAGTGCAATTCTATCGGTAAACCATAGTGAACATGGTTAAAGCTGACCTGATGTCGAGTGCAGGCCTACACTCAGTCCAAATGTACAAAATATTTTTCAATAATGATAATGATGATTAATAATTACAGTCTTTCTACAGGAGGTCGCCTCACCTACAGGTGGTTTTCAGACGAGTCCTGTTTTTAAAAATCAAAAACTAAAATCTAAAAACTGATCATGATAATTACTACGATAAACTAGTAAAATATAGCTAAAAACTGCAGAGTCTCTTATATGACGCTAAACCTAATAAAAGAAAACTGCAAAATCTCTCAAATTACAGTAAAAATTGTGAGATATTAAAGATGCTAACAGTCTCATTGTCTCTGGCTTCTACTGTAATTTCATTCCATTCCTTAAAAAATAAATTATATATATTTCCTAAAAAATGCCATCTATAGACCACTTTCATAAATGGCTGCCGCATAAATATTCTTTTGTTTAAATTTAAATTAGCCCTACTGGCCTCACTTGAGATAATGTATTCTTTTGAATTTTGTACTGGAGAACGAGGCCAGTAGGGCTAATTTACATTTAAACAAAAGAATATTAATCCGGCAGCCATTTATGAAAGTGGTCTATTCAAGGCCCTAACCACACTAATACGTTTTCAAAAGTCTCCGTAGCAAGATATCTCTACCCATACTAGCGTTTTCGCTGCGTTTTTATTTGTCCACACTAAAGTGGTCGAAAACGGAAAAACGAACGGGACCTGGAAGTCCGCATGCGTGAGAGCAATTACATCTGTTAATTTTTTCCTCACCGTTTTCAAAAGCCTCCTCTCCACAGTAAAACGGAGCGTTTCGAAAACGATGCGTATTTAAAATCTCCGTTTTCACCAGCGTTTTCGGGTACAGTTTTAGTGTGAATGACCGGCGAAACATACATACATACCTACATACGTTACTTGACCACTCCCCATAGGGGCTTTTCAGGGCCAATTCCCACCCATCCCACCCCAGAGGAGGACATCCACCACTCAGTAATCTCGTGTGTGGGAAATTAACGTCTCCTACCCCTAACCCTGCAGGAGAAGGGGCCTACGGTTTATTTGTCCTTATCCGAGAAGACTAGAATATCTATCCATTTTTTGATTATAGAAAGGTAGCAAATTCTCCTCACTAATTTTAAGACCATGAGTATCGGTCCGGCCGGGGCTCGAACCCTCGACCTCCCCCACAACATAATGCGGCGCTCTAACCAATTGAGCTAACCGGGAGGCGGTTAGCTCCCGAAAAAACGAAGTATAAAATATACTGCGAAAACGCAGTAATGTTTAAGGGGGGCCAACTCAACCAAAAAATTATACCTTAGTTCTGTGGGTGAATTTCCTCGAATCGCCTCTGCGCTTCGCAGACTTGGCGTTCTCTCGTATTTATTTTAGTGCGTCTTCGACAAAAAATGTTCTGTCCGCCGAAAACTACTGGTCATGAGTGAAATGGATGGACTTTAATTCGAAAAGTTTGTTAAACAATGAAAATATATTTTAGTGGCCAGGCACGAGGATCATCCTGTAAAAATAATGGTCCTTGGGGAGTCGGGATATGGCAACGTGATTTGTTGATTTCAGATATCGACACATGAACCTTCTTATCGTGTGATAATAAAGATAGAACTAATTCACGAGACAACTCTCCAATTTAAAGCTTAGGCGTCACTTTGAAGGTATGATCTTTGTGCATCGCCAGACAAAACTTTGTCCTGCCCTATATCAGGCAGGGGGTTGGGGGTACAAGACCAAGGTGCAACTATGAGTTGTTCAACCCGCTGACCACCGGGATCTAAATATTAATTCTCAGCACTGTCATATGGACAATTTGTATGATTTTAGCACTAAATATTTGGTACTAAATGAAACACTATCCACCAGTTGATATTTTGACTTTTTTCTTTCTAAGTAGATTCTCAGCTATTAGAGTAGATCTGAGCCTTCATCGTATAAAACTGTCTACCATGTCATTCGCTCCGCCGAAGGGCTAACGCTCGAAACGTCAGCTTTTGTAATCGTTACGGTGGCCAATTTACCATTTCAACTTTGTTGATATATCCAAATTATTTTGTTTCCCCCACCGACGCAGCCCCAAACAGTTTCTTTCGAAACTATCAGCCTTTACCATGTCACAACCTTGGCCTCATTTGCACTTCTCTTATGAGTATCCCATTAACTCTCCTTCCTGGTAATCAGACTCACACTAATAAATAACCTTTATTGCAATATACTGTGTTTCTAATTAATTCACCATTAGTACAGTAGAATAAAGTACCTATGTGAAAAAACTAAAAAACATTTGGGAATAGAATGAAATGAACATCAAAATGATCATTTATTATACTTGTGTGAAATACCAGAGCTGTTTTTGCATAAAGACTATGATTCATGGAAAAGACCAAAAAGTAAAATGTTCTACCTTATACATTCTAATTCTTATCATGACTGCTCTTCTGGGTAAATACACCATGCTATTTACTGACAGGATATAATTATGGCTTATAAAAATGAGCCCTTTACCAGTCAGTATTTGAATTTGTCATCTACTGATAATATAACTTAATAATTTGTAACGCCTCCTCCTTTTAGCTAAAATGTAGTCTCAGGTCTCACACGAGCCTCCAACAAACAAACAAAGAAATAAAAAAATATATAGCAACAGAGTGACCGAGGGTAAACTCAAACTCATGTTTGAATCATTCTTGTATATGCCTGAGTGCTAAAGACCATTAGACTAGACACAATACATACGTTTTAATTTTGAACACAGGGAAGTTTTCTACCATCACGATATTTTTTCAAACAAGCTTTTAATTATCATGGCCAACTTCCCAGTTCACCATGAACCTCATGATGGCTACCTATATGTACATGTAGCAAACCATTTGATGAATTGGCCTGAATTAGACACATCTGAAAATAACTCAGAGAACTGATTCAAAACTACTGACTGGTCAATGATCTGAAGAATTGGAATTATAGCAAGTATGATTTCTGTTCTTTGGAAGTTGTGCAATTTATTTCAATTAAGACCCTTATTCAATGTTCTAAAAGCCAAGTCATGTAATACTTCTATCTTTGGTACAGTTAGAAATTTGATAAAATGGGAAAGAAGGAAGGAAATCCTTTCATATGCATGTAATCTGTCATGCAAATTTGATGAGTCAATGATACCTGTATGGAATACTCCCTCAACAAAAATTATAGTCATATCTGCATCAAAAGGCACCTTTTTAAGCAGTCACCCTGTAGCAGTAGACATCTTTATTTATACAGGATAGCCCCTTCAGCGTAGTAAACACTGGCATCAATGGGGGTCCTGTTACCCACTCATCCCACCCCAGGGGAGGACATCCACCACACAGTAATCTCGTGTGTGGGAAATTAACGTCTCCTGCCCCTAACCCTGCAGGAGACAAGACCTCCATTTATTCATCCCTATCCGAGAAGACTAGAATATCTAACCATTTCTTGATGTTATAGAAATGTAGCGTATTCTTCTCAATTATTTTAAGACCGTGAGTGTTGGTCCAGCCGGGGCTCGAATCCTCGACCTCCCGCACAACAGTCCAGCGCTCTATCCATTGAGCTAACCGGGAGGTTCTTAGCTCAATGGATAGAGCGCATTATACATCAGTTTTCAAAGTTCTGAAATTTTCCCCCCTGAAACATTGTAACTTTCACCTGAGTGATGACCTCTATTAAGCAGTCATGGTCACCTTTTACTCAGTCTCAAAGGCCTGTTTGTATCGTCCTTCATCTGTATTGAACATTCACTTAAAGCAGGGTCATTCAAATAAAACTAAGAATAGTCTTTAAAGTAAAATTTAATTCATGTTCATCTCCTAAAATCAATATGAGTAACATTTTTGAGCAATTTTTTGTATAATTATTACGTGATCGATTATGATATAAAATGGCATTTTTTAAATAATAATCCTATTTTGTGGAACCTGTTTCAACCATTCAGCCCTCCATTCCCCATGGGTGACCACTTCATACAGGTTTGACTGTATACAGTTACCTACTACAATTGCAATTTTAGAGAATTTATCAAAAGAAGGCCAGCCAAAAAATTGTGATCACATCTAAACTTTAATTCACACCAACAACACTTTACCATTCACTCAAGAAACATAATAATAAGAAAGAAAGAATATGATCCAAGAGAAGACAGGGGAGCAAGGTCCCTTTGTTTCCTTTGAAATTCACCCATGTTTAGAAAGGGATAAACACTACAATAATACACATATCAAGCATGAATTGTTCCATTAAAATGATGCCTTCAAGTAACCTTCTTCTTGTACATGAATCTCCTTTTCTGATGTTTTCAAACTAAGTCTTTTGACTGTCTCATATCCAAGTACCATCACTAGACTTGATGGAACCATAGCTAAAATTCTGGCTGATAAACCTTTTGTTAATCCTTTGGGTCCTTCCTCTTTCAGAAGGGAACCAAACATCTGGAACACTAATGCTGATCTTCCACCACCAACCTGCAGAGTAACATAATCATAAAGAGGAAGATTAGCCATACAGTGAAAAATCAGTAACATTTAGGCAGTTCGCAAATGCTAGAAGGAGTACAACAAGGCTCAACACTAACTTTTCAACCTACTAGCCAAGCGGCTAGTGACATCTTAGGTGTTGTGACAATTTCAGTTTGTTTACTAGCTGGTGGAAATAAAAAACCAACAACCAAAACTGAATTTCTACTAGTCTGTGGCTAGTTGGCTACCATGAGTGTTGACCCCTGAGTACAGGTTTATCATATGAGTCACTCCCAAACAAGTGCCAGCATATCGTATTGTAAGAATTTGCAGTTGACAAGGTTTAACAAGAGCTGGGTACTGGCTGAATACACTGCAAGATACTTTGTTCCTCAAAGTTGCTTACTTTGCAAGATCATTTGAACATTTCCTTTGTTAGGCAGTGCTAATAAATTTTCCACCACTTTCTATCACTACTTAATTAGTTCTTATAACCAAACAGGAGGTCTGTACGGGAGAATCTTGACTGAGCACCACTCGCGCTTGTTGGATATGAGATGATTATAGCCAACAAGGCGCTACGCACCTCATTGGCTATCTATCATCTCATATCCAATGTGCGCTCATGGAATAATTGTTAAATATACCCCTTTTTATTTGAGGTTGAACAACAGACCATCACATAGGGGCAGTTTACAGATTGAAATCCCTAAGATGAAGTACAAAGTGGGAAAGGAATCAGCACAATACAGAGGTTCCAGTAATCTGGAACTTTATTAATAGGCTGGTAAATTTCGATGCAAACATTCAAAAAGACAGTTCTAAAAATGTTTTATGTAGGCTCTCACAAGACATAAGTAGCTTCTCATTTAAATCATCCATGATAGCTATGAAAGACCAAGATTTTGTATATTTTTAAGTATTACTACATTGTACCTAAGTTTCTAGATCAGCTTGAATTTTTAATAGTCTATGACTTTATTTTATTGATTTGATACTGAATTTACTTTTAATCTAATCATGGCCAGTTGTATATTTAAATACTATAGGGTAATTTTTATTAAGGCTGTGCTCTAGGAAAAATTGAAGGGAGCCCAGTGCTCTGAAACTGTAAAATCCAAGGTGCCCAGCATATGCTTTTCAAGATTCCTGAATCACCTAAGAGTAAAAGTAATGTGCCAGGGGCTACTGGGCACTGCTAGACCACAGCCCTGTTTGTAAATTATTTTGTTTATTACTTCACATTTTATTACTTAATTGTAGGTCCACATCCACCTCACTGGCTGCCAATAATCACTGTAACCTACTTTACTAAATAAAGTTTTTGATGATGATGATGATGATGATGATGATGATGATGATGATGATGATGAAGGTGAAAAAACCTCAGCCTCCCAGAATTGAAGCTCGTGCTTTCTGTGCTAACTCATGCAGCCCTCTACTGTACCTTCCTAGCCTCCTACTTCAAAACTCAAGGAGAGGCCGGAGTTAGTGACCTCAACTGACTACTATGCTGGTCTTTGGCCCACAACTTCAGTCATCAACTCACAATATTGCTCATAAGATGATGCAAGTTAACTGAAAATCTTGATATCCAGCCCTGCCTACACCTTAACGAGTTACAAGTAAGAATATTTATAATCTTATCCTAGGAGAAACAAGATGAACTTTAAAAAGGGCCTCTGAATTTGGTTGATTTCACTTTAGGTGGATCTAGAACAATTATTAAAAGAAAAAAATAACAACAACAAACCTGCAATCTAGTTCTCATTATATCCAAGGGATTTGTAAGTGTTGCAGTGGTGAACCCTGCCATGGTGCCAGCCATTGCCAAAACAAGCATATGAGGTGTTCCTGTTATAACAATATTACCCACTAGTCCAGTGTACAGTCCGTATGTGGACCACCATATTGCGCTACTGGGTGCATAAGTCATTAGAGAGATCAAGTACCCTCTGTAAAGCCCTAACGGTCCATCTGATTGTATAATCTCTCTAATGATAGTCGATGCTCCCTTGAGTTTGGCCGTATTTTCACCCTGACCCTGTACCATGAGCTTCTGAGAAATAACATCTACAGGGACCGTTATCGTTTGTCCAACTAACGAGGCACAACCACCGGCCAGGAGGCCTCTAACAGCATTGTTGTATTCTTTCGTCCTAGCTCGAATCAACTCTAAAGTGGTGATGTAAAATTGCCCTGATAAAAGACCAAAGCTGCTCACCATAAATCCTTTATAAAGTCCTCTCACGCCTTCAAAACGTATTACTTTCACAAACGCATCGAAGGATCCATTGTAAAGAGCTTTCTTCCGCTGAACTTGAAGTCGGGTTTTCACAAGGTTCGCCGGATACAGCAAAGCTCGAATACCAAGAAAGAATGTCGGACCAAATAAATAGAACTTTCTCTTGTCCATGTCCTCCCATTCGATGTGCTTTACGTGTTCAGGCATTCTATGTGTGTTGAACAAGCGATTTACAGTTATTTTAGAGCCATCAACCAGATGAAATAGGGTTCAAGGTTGCGAATTTGTTAGTCTGCCAAAATTTCTCCCAAATTCTAGGTCGCCATTTTGTTAGTGTTTTACTGGTCAGCGGAGATAAAAAGCGTCAGTAATCACGTGCTTGGAACCCAGTTCTTATTTTAGAACCCGGACAAGTGTGCTATGACACTTGTGACACTCGCGAGATGTGTATCCAGTGGCGGATCCAGGGGGTTCTGGGGTGTCCGGACCCCCCTAACAGACCTGACGCTTACAGCTTTGAAATTGAAATTGTTACATCGACAGGAGCGTACATCACTTTTTAACTAGCTGATCTTTTTAATGAATCCAAGTAAACAGTAAGCGACCAAGGAATAACATGCAACCGCGACTGGTGGGAGGGGGTATGGGGGGTGTGGGGGAGAGGTAATTTGCCTCAAAATAGTCCAACAGTCGTTTCTGAACCAAAGTTTGGACCCCACCAATCAAAAATTATTGGATCCGCCCCTGGTATCCTCTCCCTCCCCCCCACCCCTCCCACGCCATTACCCCCGCAAAAGATTTTTTCTCCCTTGTCTAAAGAATACTGAAGGGAGAGAAAATGATATTACAAACAAAATGCAGTCTCATCAATGTGATATCCATCTGTTATTCCTGTCACTATTATGAAGTACTGCGCAAGCGCACGAATGTCATTCGTTTTATTTATTGTGTTGATTTTTCTCTTTGCTTATCTTATGTATGAAAAACACGAACGGTTTCACTCGTAATCTTATTTTTCAAAACTGTGAAGAGATGCATGCTTCTTTTAAACTTTTACGGCCTCTTTTCACGTAAGATGTTCGTTTTATTCAGGCCTTCTTTTCTTCGGAAGGATACCCCCACATGATGAACCAGTTTCTCAAAATCTCTCAGAGTTTTGGTTTATACACACAAGTCTCCATGGTTTGAAAGGGATTCAAAATGGCTGTTGCTCATCCGTTAAAATCAGAAAAGCCACATAAACATGCATCAAACAGCCGGTCAGTTATGTATATCAAAATCATGAATCTAGATCGAAATCATAAATTTTAAAATCTAGCATAAGGAAAACATCTTGTTCTCTATGCAAATTTCGTCCAGCTATGTACGAGCAGACATTTTCATCAGAAACTCAGCCACCATCTTTGCCTTGAATTTTTTCTGAGCCTAAACTTTTCGCCCTCCAAGGAAAATAAGCACTCCATTCTCTTTCATTTGGTGGCGATGAAAAATCCTCTCGTTCACTTTCTGATATTTGTAGTGCCAGCAACTATTGGTAAGTAAAACTCCCATATAATTTTTTTTTACTTGCGGATAAATGCTTGCATGCATGCATGTGTTGGGAGTTCATTTGGGCTCAACTCAGAGAGGTCTTTATGAAGGCCTAGGAATTGTTCATTTTACTGAGAGTTGAAGTTTTTTTAGACCTAATGACATATGAATTTCATTTATTGCCCGCGGTAGACTCTCGTAATCGAACTCAGACCCATATCTTCTTTGTCATTATGCGGAGTCCAGAATTTAGAGTTTAAATTTATCTTGGGTTACTTTTGCATAAGCGTAGCTTAGGATTGGATGTGATATACTCGATTCACACCCGCCAAAGCTTGAACATGTTTTAAAGCTGTTTTGTTAGACACGGTTTAAATTTGTTTTTTATACTCTTAGAAGCTTCTTAAACCGATGTTTGTCGACTTCAAATGTAACACATTGAAAAATCAAGTTAGCGACTATTTGAATCCTATGGAAAATGTATTTTTTTCCAGTTCTCTATCGCTGATTTTCATTCTTTTATACCTCGTTTAACTAAGTGTTTTGCTGGTGCGAATTGGGTATAATTTAGTTTACTTTTGAGCAAACGTAACTCAGGGATTAGATGTCATAGCAACTGAATATATTTTGATATTCTTAACTTCCACATACAACAGTAGCTCGAGCCAGCGCCTGGTATCAAACGAAGGCTGCGTTTCATTTAAAGATGGCCTTTTCTCTAAAAATTTAATAAGAATCCCATACGCTATACGTAATTCAAGCCATTATTTACACCAGAATGCATAATGAGTAAAGTGTATAAATCATGAATATGGTAAACAGACTTGTCAAACTGAAAGCGTGCGAGAAATTTCCATAAGAAATCATCTGCCCAACAGAAAAACTGTACTTGTTAGATTCTGCATAGTGGTCATATGGCCAGCATTAAGTCCACAGTGATCACTGAGTCACTTTACTTTCGTTCGATTTTGTTTGACTTTCAGAAGCCTACAGGGAGGCAGGGAACTGCTACAAATGCGATGGGAACAATGAACAGTGTAGTCTGGCAATGATGCACTCGGATATTGCAAAGTATACGGTGAGATGCGCGCGAGACTATATCTACTGTATGACAATCTTCCTGGAGCAAGATGGAAGAAAGATCTTTAATAAACGGTGCGCAAGTGAACGGATCTGCAACAGAGAAATTTCTCGCTGCGATGGAAGTGAGCGCACGACCAAGGGGGGTCTTCAGACCGAGAAGATTTGTCATGCATGGTGCTGTGAAGGAGACTGGTGCAATCCTGGGTCACGTGTCTCTCCAGCACATCTTGTGATGATGTCAGGACTTCTGTGCGCTAACCTGATGTATAGAATTTATTTGTAGAAGAGTGTAACATTGAGTTTTACCTAGCGTGTTGTGGTTAGAAATTTATGTCAAGCACCAGATGAAATTAAGACTATATTGTAAGGAAATGTATCGTTTGAACAAGCTGATAAAAGTCACCCGTGTTGTGTTGATAATAGGGACCTTAAGCAGTCAGGACGGCAACGCCAAGGTAGACTTCGATTAAAAAATGAATATCTACTCTTAGTTAGAATTTCAAAAATGTCTGCATGAGCTTACTGTCTCATACGGCGCCCGAGCTCAACTTCAGCATGACGTATAAAAGTAGCGTTGAATTCCAAATGGAAATTGATATAATTTGCCGTCGTGGTTTCGGTTCGCAGACGACGCAAATTTTGGCGATTTCACGTTGTTGTTTTCCATAGGACGGCTAAGAAATGTACAAAGTTTCAAAATGCATGTGCTGACCTATTTTTCTGTCAATTAGATCTCTTGTTTTTCCACGTCCTCGTTGCCGTCGCCGTCGTGGCTGTTTAAGGTCCCTAATTTAAGGTGTGAGTGAATATATTACAGCACTGTTGTAGAGAATGTTTCCAGATTTTGCATAAAACCATACATAAAGGCATTTTATTGAGATTGTTCGTTTCAATCAAAAAATTTATTTTCAATTCGTTTCAGTTAAAAACAATAAAAGTGATGAACAAACTAAGGACAATAATACGATTTAATGTTAATCTTTATCTAGGTTTGGTGGAAAAATTATACAGAATAAAGTCTGTTTACTTATTATACAAAAAAACCAACAGTACTGTTTTGCTTCTTCCATAAGTGCGACCTTTAAATTTAATCAGTCAGTCAAATAGCAACATACTGCCTGCTTAACCCATTCACTCCTAAAGTCTGATTAATAAATCTCCTTACTGCCTGCGATACAATACTCGTGATGTAGGTTCGGAGAAATTGGTATTGGATCAATAAATAGTCACCATGTTGTGATATATTTTTCGGCTATTATCAGCACTTGTCGGGTTAACATTGTATATTGATGCTGTAAGGAGAAGTTCTGTTTTGGTCACTCATGCGAGTTAGGGGTTCACTTGTTCCATATAGCAGGAAAGAAACTGACTGAGCTGTTGATGGCATCGTTTTATAAAAGACTGATCGACGTTTTCATCTGTGTACAAAATCACGGTAAAGCTGCGTTGCAAAGTATATCTTTGAAAGAATTTAACGACCACCTGGACAGCAGATTATGAGTGAAAGGGAATAATCTCGCTTTTGAAATAGAGAGGAATACTTAGGGACAAGTTACTGTTTCCGCCAGGGTGGGGGTGGGGGTGGGGTGTGGAGGAATTTAAGGAAAGGTTTACAAGTGGAATGGAGGGGGATCATTTGCCACTAACAGAGTTTAAAGGGGGAGACTAAAGAAATTGACCGCCAACTAACTGCCACTGATAGGAGGGGGGAGGGGGCGACGGGAGGTTATGTTAATATTACAGAGCCTTATGGGGGATCAGGTAATTGTTATCGTAACACAACCAAAACCCTGCAATGACCTCCTTCGGTCCCTTATGACTGACGGTGCCATAATGTTTCGTAATTAAAAGGTTTACATACACATACATAGGTTAATTGACCACTCCCCATAGGGGCTTTTCAGGGCCAATACCCACCCATCCCACCCAGGGAAGGACATCCACGTTCTTCATCCCTGAATAACTGATAAGCATAATATTGATGGAAAGTTCTTGATGTTATATATTGAATTACTGTAGATTTATCATAATAGATAAAAACCACACATGAGAAACATGATGCTAGCATGCACTCTGCAGAAGATTTGATTGCTGCTGTTACAATAATCTCCTTCGCAGCAGGTCACATGACATCTATAGTGGGAACTCCCGGCTTCCTCCCACAATCTTGCACATCTAATCTACACTCAGTTTTCCTTCCACAGCCTGTGGTCACCTCATTTTTCCCAATATCAAGCATAAACGTTTTTATGTTGCATCTGTCCGGGTATTGATTGCAAGCGTCTTGTGTTCGGTTGCGCTTGAGTTTGTCTTGAAGGCAGTACTTTTCTAAGCCCTTGCACTGGAAACACTTTAAAGCAATGTCTGAAAATATAAATTAAACAAATGGAAAAGTCCATGCTGAGAAGGGGAACCATTCACCTGAATCAGCCGGATACTCATGTGACACTTTGATTATTTAGCGGAAGGCAGAAGCTGTGCAATCGTGCAGGTGAGATTAGTCTTCAGTTAAAATAGGACTACATATTCAGAGGGTTTCAATGGGATCATGGCATTTATGGCTTACGGTTATAATTTTGGCCATTTTACGGCTAACGGTTAATCCAAAGTGACACATTGTGGAAAGCAACAATCAGTTTACGGATAACTTTTTCCACGACTCACGTTTAAAATTTCCTCTACTAAATAGTGCAAGTTGGTGACGTTTCAAAAACTTGAGCCTGATCATGATAGTCAACACACACTTGACTCTGATTATGGCCTCACTTCAAGTCAGTCAAAAAAATTACACATACTGACCGTCTCGGGAAACAAGGTTCTTCACAGCTACTCTCTCACCCAGACGATCACACAACACCATCAACTGCATATCCTGGATACAAACTGCATACTACACCTAACTTATGTTAGAATTAGAAAGAGGTTGATATCTCTCCTGACTGAAAAATAGAGTATAATGTAAGAGGAAGACGTTTTTTTCTTGTC